AAGAAACTGTTTATGAGGTGTCGTATGGTTAGTAGCCCCAGAATATAAAATCCAAGTATCATCACTTAACTGAAAAGATACACAAACATGAAAATCAACAGAATTAACCACAGAACTTTTTAACAAACCTGCAAAGTGAGCATAGCCAAAAGTTTCTCCAGAAGAACCATTGTTGTTGGTACCAGGAGATATATTTGCTTGTTGTAGAAGAGATACAAGATGTTGATATTGCTCCTGGCCTAAACCATGAGTGGATGAAGTCCCAGGTTGGGAAAGAGGAGCTTGAACTGAAGACTCAATGGATGAAGTGTCAGCATGAACACATGAGGCAGGCCTTTTAGACCGTGTGAACTTGAAATCAGAAGGGAATCCATGCAACTTGTAGCACTTCTCAATGGTGTGACCTGACTTTTTACAGTACTTGCATGATACTCCCACACCTTGCCCAGGCTTTCTTGACTCAAATTGAACCCTTTGATTAGAAATTTTCTGATTACCAGAAGGTGTAGAAGATGCAGAGAAAGTAACTAACTCATTGGAGAAGCCTGGTGTGTGAGAAGATTCCCTCTGTTTCTCATCATGTTGTAGCATAGAATAAGCTCTACTAACAGTAGGGAGTGGAGTCATCATAAGAATGTTACTCTTAACTGTAGAGTAAGATTCATTGAGGCCAACTAAGAACCAAAAGAGCTTGAGTTCTTCAATGAACTTGGGTAAAGCACCACAAGAACAAACAGGACCTACATAGGCAGTACTCATTTCATCCCAATGACTTCGCAACCTAGTAAAATATGATGCAATATCTGAAGTCCCTTGAGAGATACTTCTAATTTCCCTCTGAGGGTGTGTTTGGTATGAAGGAAAACATTTTTCGGAAAATATTTTTTAATTTTTCCATGTTTGGTTGGCTTAAATGTTTTGGAAAATATATTCCTTATGAACTCATTTTCCTCCAATTGGAGGAAAATGTTTTCCTTATCAAGAGAAGGGAAAATATTTTCCAAAACTCCTTCTCAACCTTCCCTACCCTTACCTTTTATGTGTTTGGAAGTTTGCGGGTTTATAAATTATAGTAAAGTTTACGGTTTAGAAATCCCGCGATTTCAAAAGTTTAGCGGTTCGAAAGTTTATGAAAAATGTGGGTTCGGAAGGTTGTTGGTTTGAAAGTTTATGGTTTCATGCTTATTATATATAAATTATTTATGAATACTCTTGAGAAGTCATTTTCCTTAATTTGCGTACCAAACATCGGAAAATGAATAAGATTACTACTTGTTTTCCAAGAAAATATTTTTTTGAAAAATATTTTCCACGGAAAATATTTTCCGTTATACCAAACACACCCTGAATCTGAATGAATTTGGACCCATTAGACTGTCCAAATCTTTCATTTATATCTAACCAAATTTCCCTAGCAGTGTCGTACCCAATACACTGGTAGCAATATCCCTAGAAAGAGAATTAGTGATCCAAGTGATCAGCATGTCATTGCACCTTTCCCAAAAGGGATAATAGGGAGAATCTACTGCAGGTTTATCATGCCGACTATTAATCAGGCCCAGTTTATTTTTGGCAAACAGAGAAACAAGAATACTTTTCCTCCATGAGACAAAACCAGTACCATCAAATGGAGGAGAAACTAAATGAGTACCAGGACTATCCGACGGATGAACATAAAAAGGGTGAAAATGATCTAGACTAATAGCCCGTTTGGCCAAGCTGCAAAAATCAGCTTATTTTGAGAAGTACTTTTTTTTCAAAAGTGTTTTTCTCAAAAGTACTTTTGGTGAGAAGCAGTTTGTGTTTGGCTAATTAGTTTGAAAAGCACTTCTGAGAAGCAATTAGTGTTTGGCCAAGCTTTAATAAACTGCTTCTAAGTGTATTTTTCTCAAAAGTGCTTCTCAAAAAAGTGCTTTTGGAGAGAAGCTACTTTTTTCTGCTTCTCCAAAACTGCTTCTGCTTCTCCTCAAAAGCACTTTTTTTCCTTCCAAAAGCTTGGCCAAACACCTTAATTTTTGGCCAAAAGTGCTTTTGGCAAAAAAAAGCACTTTTGGCCAAAAAGAAGCTTGGCCAAACAGGCTATAAAAGTAGCAAAAACCTCGTAGGAGAGGGACGAAGACGTAGTTTCAGCATTTATGGTCATGATAATAGCTAGTATTTCTAAAATCAGATGATATTTCTAAGAAAGCTTCTGAGAAGAATCACATATAAACAGTAACGAATAGGAGTTAGAATAGATGATACCGCTCTTCCTCTGAAATAGTGGAAAACTGTCGAGGCTTTGAAATTTAGTCAAAACTCCATGGACAATATCAGTAAACCTTCATCCTTGAAGTAATCGACCACAACATCCGTAAAACGCAGTAATATGAAGAAAAAAAAACCCAAATTTTGGAATACTAGGGTTCGTAGTTGAAACCAAAACTTGTAAAACTAAGGTCGAGGGTAACATCACTCGACTCGGACAAGAGAGCTGATACCGATTCTCGGCTTTGATACCATGTCAAGTGAAGGGGAGCTCGATTATTGTACAAACTCCATTATCAGAGAGGAAGAAGTAGAGAAGAAGAAGAGAAATGAAGAGAGAGAGAAAATATCTAATCTTATTAAAATGAATAATTTCTCACTTGTTTATTCCAGAACCATCTATTTGTTTATATATAAGTAGAAGTGGCAATCAAGTAAATGCAAAAATATGGCTAGCTATTACAAAATGTAACTATTACATATAAGTGTATAACTTGTACAAAGATGTTGTTTCAGCTATAACTGGGACGGTGGTGTATTGGGCATGTGCTGTCCAACAAAGACACCCCTTGTAATTATAAACCAACCATTTATTGTTCGCGTGCTATTAATTTTTTTTACGCATCTCAGCCCTAGTAATCTTTTGACGTGCAGAAAATTACGTTGGGCGGACTTTTTTAGTATCATCGTTAATAATTTGGCCTTGGTAAGAAAAGTTTTGTGAAAATAGCCTCCGGCTAGAATCTTGGGAAGCGCTTCCAGCAATCGCCAAAAATTTTCTATATGAAAATTTTTATGATTGCCATGTTTTGTGGCAATCCTAGCGATTGTCATGTTTTACGTCAAATGCGGGCAATCAAAATATAAAACAATTCTAGCAATTGTCATATTTTATGGCAAATTCTACTGATAACCAAGTAAAAAAATTCGGATTACTATTATGTTTTGTAGCAAATCCTAGTGATTGTAGACATGTGATTTTTGACTCTCCCCATGATTTTTATATTTTAGCATAAATATTTAGTTTATATTTAGTATCGCTCTCTTTACTTTATTTTATCTAAAAATAAACTGCAAAAATATTTTCCCTTATTCTAGCTAGTTGATATTTGGTCTAGTTAGTTTTATTTTTGAAAATACAAAAAATGGTCTTGGCATTTTAATTTTCAAAAAAAAGATAAGTAGAAAAATTTCAAAAATATTTTACATTTTAGTATATATTGAGTAGTATTTAAATTTAATTAATATAGTAATTATGTGTCTTCTCTAAACATTTTTATTATCTTAAATATACTAGTATCCTTATAAAGCTATTTTTAATTCATCCTTTTAATAAAAGAAAAGAAATAAAAAAAAACAACCAAAAAAACATGGTACAACCCAATTACCCTTAGCTCATTCTTCCCAACCCATTAGCCCACTTAAGTGCAAGATTTAATCCTAGCCATCTATTTTCATTCTAATCCAATGGCCANTCTCATAAATGACAATTGGAAAGATGATGATAATAACAATAATAATAATAATAATAAATTAGTCAAATTTCTGCTAAAAATAATGGAATATGTACTCTTACATTATTAATGTTATTAGAAGCTTAAAGAAAATAATTTGGAAGAAAAGGCGGACACAATTGGATGTCAACAGTATCACAAATACCACCAACACACGACGAAAAAGCAACTCAGACCCTGATTCTAGCCAAAAATCGAGAGGAAACTACCAGAGACAAAGTAAACCACGAACGGCAACAAAGCTGAGAAAAAATTGGTGGATACGAATGAGGGTAACACCGCTCGAAATAGGGAGACCAGAATTAGCGGTTGTCCGCTTTGATACCATGTAAAACTAGTGAATCGAATTAAATTTGAGCAGAGGTTGATTAGGGTTCATATGAGAAAAGAGGTACGAGACAAAAAAAATCTCATTTCTGTTATGTTGTTGATAATACACCGACATGTTTTATTTATCTAATTATTACATTATATTGGGTCTTGGCCCAAAAACTCAAACACAAACTAAACATACATAAAGTAAGGGGATTTTTTCCTTCCTATACCATATATGAAAGTTTATTACCAAAAATGTGCATATTGTGTATATTACCCGCCCAGTCCACATTTTACCTACAAAATTTGTACCATTCGACTATTAGGCATTAAAGGATCAGAATATTCCCTAAAAATGCGCTAAAATCAAGGAGAGATTCTTGGTGATAATTGATTCTACATTAAATTCAATTTTTAAAAAGGGAAAGGAGATTTCACATCTGCGTTTTTTTCTCCAGAACTACAATTCAAATTCTGAAAAAAAAAGAACGAACAGATATTCAACAACTAAAATCTACAAAAACTACGAAGATATTCAACTACTAACAGCTTCTAAGATTTGAATTCAAATTGTAGAATTCAAAATTTTCGAGTTTCAACAACTCAAAGTTGAAAAAATCTGTTCTTCATCGTTGCTTCTATCAAATTTTCGATCAGATCTATCTCTTCTTCATCTTTTCTTCTTTCAATCTAGAAATCAAAAAAAAACATCAACATCAACAACAAATCATGTCCAAAATAGCAATTATGCTACAATTTAATGGCAATTGGGATAACTATGGCAGATTTAGAGATTTTGAAATGGATGCCATTGTGGTAGATGAGAATGCAAGCTACAGTACTCTGATCTCTACAATTGCATAACAACTATCAATTGATACTACTGAAAAAAATTATAGAAATCAAATACATTGTGAACGACAATTGTCCCCCAATGGAGATTAGGAATGATATGGGGGTTCGTGTGTATATGGAGACCAAAAAGGAGAATAAAAACTTATGTTCATATCCGCTATGTATAAGTGTACGAGATTTCAATATGGAATTGGCAATCACCAATGATAACACAAGTGCAGGTTTGTGTAGTTCGAAAAATGCTTAGAATTTTAGTTTTATGATATTATCTACAAATTTACTACATATATCTACAATTTGACTACAATTTCTCATAAAGAAAGAGGCAAGCAGTATTGTTTTCAGAGCAATCTACAAAGTGCAACAATTTAACTACAGTGTAACTACAATGTCTGACATCTTAAAATAGATGACTACAAATTTTTGTAGATATCTACAAATTATCTACAAAGATTCTACAAATGTATAATGACACTGTTTATCTCTATTTTGATGCAGGTTCATCTGGATCGCTAAAGTTACTTGATATGCCATCCTCTCCAGATATAGAGGAATATCAAAGTGAAATAATAAAATTATATGCAAACCGATATTGAAGAAGGACAAGTGTATCAGGACAAGCAAATTGTAGCTGCTGCAATAAAGCACTTTTCTGTGGTGCACAAGTTCCAGTTCAAAGTTAAAAGATCTAGTCATAGAAGGTATAGAGAAAATCTGATTCTAAACAGTGCATTGTTCAAAAAATGGGGTTTTTAATATTGTAGATAAATTGTAGTTAGAATGTAGTTAAATTGTAGTTTATGTTATTTTCCCTTAAAATAATCCTTCTGTTGCACCTACAATTATAATTTGTTTTTTTTTTTGGCAGCTACTGGCTTGTATGCGTTGGTGAAAACTGTAAATGGCACTTCAAGGCAACATCAATTAATGATTCCACAATTTTCAAGATAAGGAGTTTCAACCGACAACACACATGCTCCTTAATGGACGAAACATTCATACAGCGCAAACATATTGCAGCTGTAGTTTGTAGCATGGCCATTCCAAAGTATTGTGACCCAAAAACTGTGTACACACCAAAGGACATACTGACTGACATGTTAGCAGAACACGGAGTGAACCTAAGCTACATGCAAGCATGGAGAGCAAAGGAAAAGGCTTTACAATTTTTGAGAGGGAATCCGGCTGACTCCTACAGCAAATTACCCAAATATTTTTATATTCTTGAGGAGACTTATCCTGGTTCTCATGTTAAATTGAAGAAGACAGCATATGAATGCTTCTTGTACGCATTTGTTGCTATTTCTACACCAATAAGTGGTTGGCAACATTGTAGGCCAGCAGTAGTTGTTGATGGAACATTCTTAAAGTCAGCCTACAGGGGGATTATGCTGACTGCAAGCATTATGGATGCAGCAGGTAAAAAGTGTAAAATTTTAGTAATTATTTTGTTGGCAGTTTATAAAATATGGATACATTGTAGAAAGTTTGTAGTTATTTTGTAGGCAGTACAAATAAAATGTAGATAACTTTTCTATATTTGAAGGTAAATTGTAGTTGTTGTGTATTCATATTTTTATATACATCTGCAAATCTGCCATTTAAAATTTTATGAATTTTGAATGTACGTACAATATTGCCCTTAGCATATGCTGTGGTTGATTCTGAAAATGATGCATCTTGGAAGTGGTTCTTCGAGCAATTCAAGCAGGCATATGGTGAAAGACCTTCAATGTGTGTTGTTTCAGATAGAAATGAGAGTATAATGAAGGCAACATCAATTGTCTATCCGGGCATGCCACACTACTCTTGTATGTGGCATATTTGGACAAATATAAGGTCAAAATTCAAGAAGGGTCGTCTACAATTACATGAATTGTACTTTGCTACAGCAGGGGCATACACTCTGGATGAATTTAATGAAAGGATGTCGAAGATTAAAGATATAGACCCTCGTGTTAAATCATACCTCTATGATATTGGCTATCATAGATGGTCAAGAGTACATGCAACGGTAAATAGAACTTGGACTATGACATCAAACATTGCATAGTCATTGAATGCTGTAACAAAATATGCAAGAGAGCTGCCAATATTTGACCTTTTAGAGTGTATGAGGACGTTTCTTGAAACTTGGACGAAAGAGAAGTTATTGAAGGCTAAGGGTACCTTCACATACCTTGGTTACGAATTCAACAAAGAATTGGAGAAAAATAGTACATTTATCTCAGAAACTTAGGGTAAGCTCTCTTTAATATATAGTGTCTTGGTGCAGGGAAATTTTTTTTTAATACACAGTGTCTCCAGATTGTAGATAAATTGTAGGCAAAATGTAGTTGAATTGTGGTTTGTAATTACTTTGTAGATAAAAAATAAAAATATTGTAGATACTATATTTTTAATATTGTAACTATTGTTTATTTGTGTTTGTTCTGAAAATGTAGGTGAAGGCTTCAACAGATCATAACATACTGTGTTGGATGGTGCGAAGCGGTACATTGTGTGTCTAGAAAACAAGAAGTGCAGCTGTGGCCAATTCCAACTTGAAGAACTTCCATGTGCGCATGCTTTGGCTGCATTAAGGTACAGGCATGAAACATACGAAAACTATTGCTCTCCATATTACACAAGGGAGAGCCTTCTGCGTACGTATGAAATACCAGTAAATCCTCTTCCCGATGAAAACAAATGGAATGTGCCACAACATATTTTGGATGAGGTAGTAAAGCCACCGAGTGGAGATAAAAGGCAGCCAGGCACACCTCAAAAGGAAAGATATAAAACACATGATGAAATAAAGTCTAAGAAGTACAAGGTGTCATGCGGAAATTGTGGAGGTGAAGGGCACAACAAAAGATCTTGCAAGAATGCTCCCAGAAAGAAATGAATATCATGTAGTTAGAATGGTTATTCAAACTAACTGTTAGTGGGTTAAAGTTAGCGGATTTTGGCAGTGTAATCGTTTAAGTTTTTAAAAATCATTATGAATTCATCTACAATTTGTTCATGTGTGTTAAATATGCTCTTATATATCTTGTCAGGCATCTACATTAGTTTTTGAATTAGTGTAATTATATTTTAGTACTTATTATGTACAATACAATTGATACTAAAAATAACTCCATGTAAATTGTGTCCAGATTGTAGTCAAAATGTAGGTTAAATGTAGATAAATTATAGTTTATGTAAAATCTTCTAGAAAATTTGCAGATTAATTGTGGATAACACATTTCTACAATTAGAGTATTTATTTCTTCATTTTTGTTGTATAATTTATATTCAACAGACAGTTATATATAAATATTACATAGAACTTGGAGGTAAACATCTTAAAATTATGATAAAAAGCTGCAATATTTATATACAATAACTATATTCATGAAAATACTCATGTTTAATATAAAAATGATACGGTGTTGTAAACAAGCCAATTTATATTGAAGTGAATAACTAATAATGAAACATAAAATAACAAAAGAATAATGTATGCTGCAATAAAAACTTAATAATTTTGTTCATAAAGTATTGTATTCTCCTTCAACTACAAATTTGCATCAAGAAAACTAGGAAAACAGGACACTATTTCTTCTTTCTATGCACTCTAGTCTTCTCATTCAAAGCAGGTGCACCCTTCCTCCTTGCTAACCTTCCTGTAACTTCACTCTCACTGATTGACCCATCTTCTTGCTTCTTTGTAGCATAGTCCCATAGTAGAGCTCCATAGCGTGTACGGTGTTGGTCGATATCCGAAAGGTCTTCTGAAGGGATTGACAAATCTCCAAGGCTAGCATATTCCACAAAAGCAGCCACAAATACACCACAATCGCTGCATAAGACACAAAATTTGAATTATTTAACAAATGATTAAAAAAAATTAAACATCGAGAAAGAGAGAATAGATTTTTTACAGTGATCCTTCCTTTTGCTGAGGAATCTCCGCAACCAACCACTGTATGTTGAGAGGGTCTGTAACTGGTTTCTCAATGTATGCCTTTGTGGTCTTGAAGTCAATATCTTTACGCTTCCCATAGAAACCAGTGCAAGACAAATACAGAGGGATAATGATTGAAAACTTCTCAACACATGCTTCAACAGCCTTATGATTGTGTGAAGAAACCATGGAATCGTACACATAAAGTTGCCTGTCCGCTATGTCGAAAACGACCAACAACCAATGGAAATTCTCTACAATATTCACGGGCATGATGACATAGTGAACTTCATCCCGGGCAACATTAGCAAGAATTCTATACCCAAGAATATATTCTGCAACATCATCATCGGGTTTAACAACCGAATACTTTTGTTCTGTTGGAGAACTTATGAACTTCTCATATATTTGTTCAATCTTTGACTTGAACAAGCAATCAGTTATCGTAAACCTAGTGTTGTTGTTGTTGGGACCATATTTGCCTCTTTTTCTCAAGTAATACATAATAACATCAATGTGCTGCAAAATAAAATAATATATAATATTAGCCCCACTGTAACTACAATTTTTTTACAATTCAGATTCATATTAAACTACAAAAGGCAGAATTCAAATGTTCTAATAATTATCTACACTTTAGCTGCTAATAACAACAACTACCATAAGNTCTAACACATCAGCATCTACATTTTCACCAATTAGAGTTATGAAGGGGTGCTTGAGGTAGAAAAATTTAGGGGCAATAGAGCTGCTGCCTCCAGAACTGTATAGAGGTATGAAAGGTGATCGTGCATGTTTCCCCGGTTGCCTAGTTCTCCCCGGATGAATAGGGGTTTCTTCATGTGGTATGGGCTCTCCAAACATAACCAATTGTGTCAAGTTATCTGGCAACTCAATGTCATCCAATGTGACACCCTTCTTATCAATTCCTGATCCTTCAGGAACAACTTCATCCACATGAAGTGCATCTTCACCTTCATTTTGATGTGTCTCAATGACTTGTTCTGTTTCAGCTGCTACTGTCACTCCATGAATTGGGGAACACACATTGACATTATCAATATCTGTTACATAAAACATATATTACTTAACATGAATGTAAAATTGTATAAACAACAATTACATTTTATGAATGACAGCATGATTTTATACCTGCATGTTCAACCTCAGCTGCTTCTTGAAAATCTGGATATAAGTCCCCATGTGCTGGAACATGTTCTTGACAAACTGCAGCATCAATTTAAAATATAAAAGGTAAATAATACTATATAATACCGCATTGAAAGTTGTAGATATAAATAGGAAGTTGTAGGTAAAATGTGAATAATAAAACTAATTTGTAGCTAGTTTGTAGATACCTGTGTTGCTTGTGTTTGCATGCACTTGAGCACCAATATTGCAATGAAATTGCTGGTTGTTCAATCCTTGTTGTTGGTCATTATTTTTGGTTGAACTACCAGCAAACTATAGATTTAATGTTAGTATATTATTTGTATTGTAAATAATTTGTTTTGGTGTATAAATATGTGTCAACTATTACCTTTGCCTCATCCACAACATATGTCCTGTTTATCAATTTCACAACATTCTTCATAGATTCATCTACAAAAACTCTAAGGTTATGGAGTTCCTCAAAGACAACCTTCCTAAAACCATCTACCTTCTCATCAACCTACAAGTTAAAAATGTAGAATTATAGAATTATACTACAATTTAACTACACTGCAGACTACATAAACTGTTATGAAAATGTAGATAAAATATAGATAAAATGTAAAAATATTGTAGTTAATATTAATACCTGCTGAATTCCCTTTTGCAGCTTCCTTAGCTTCTTAGCCACAGATTCCTTGTCCTGTTGAGCTTCTGTATGTTTGGGTTCCAATGTTGGAGAATCAACATTTGGAACTTCTGATGATTGTGCACCCAACTCAGCTCCATAATCAATTTTGTTTGGCAAATTAAGCACTGCAATCTCTTCTCCACATTCAGTCATGGATGTGAACTGAATGATGAAAAAAAAAGTAAGTTCCAATAATGCAGAAAATGTAGAATAATTGTAGATATTCTGTAGGTAAATGTAGACAGTAACAAAAAACTGAAAAAAATACCTTAATCCACTCAGGCTTGATCACCTTCTCTTCAAAGGCAGTTAACCAAATCTGCCCCTTAGAAGCTGACCATCTTAACATACGAGGTATTGAGTCAGAAGACCTCGTAGCAATCTCCGTGCTCACTGTCAAGCAACACTCATATAGCCACACTTGCAAGGCTAATGAGCATCCCCGTATGAGATAAGAATGTACACGGGAATTTAGACGATGTCTAACTGATTCCATAATCTGATTGAAGGATTTAATACCCCATGGAATGACTAAAAATGACCAGACTTTACCAAATAAAACTTAAAGTTGTCTATAAAGGATACATGGTCTTTGTTAGAAGGACAAACAAATAATTCCAAAAGATAAAGAATGCACAACTTTACAGCATCCTCATCATTCACCCAAGATTTATTTGTCACTATGTTTTTTAGATACCACTTCTCTACTCTTTTTTTGTTTGGAAAGTAGTTATTCATTAGCTTGCTAACATAACTAGAAGTGTATCCAAAATCTGAAAACTGATTGACACAAAGTAATTAAACTAAACTCTCTCAACCCAAAATTTAATTTTTCACCCTTCAAATTGACTGAAAAAAAGGAGTCATTAGAATTAGATAGTTCATACTTCATGAGGAGATGAATAGCTTGGTTTTGCATAACAATGGGCGGGAGAGACAATAAGTAACCAAAACAAGTTTTCTTAAAAGCCTTTAAACCAATAGGAGACAATAAGTCTTTGATCTGACTAGGAATGCTAGGATCACACAAAGTGTGGAATCTTAGCACACCATAATCAATATTTTGCGGGGCAAAATAATGTCCAGTCTGCAAAAAATGATAAATTGTTTCAATAAGTAAAATGCATAAAAATGACCCATTAATCTACATATTAACTACATCTAACTACAACTTCAATACAAACATATATGAAAAGACATGAGGAAGAAACAATAAATACAGATCTGCTGTAAAAAATACAGCCTAACATACAATTGTGCTTCAAATTGTAGAAGTTACCTAACATTATATCTAAAACTACAAAAATATCTACCTAACGATACAACTACCATTTAAAGCCTTTTCTACAAATAGGAACCAAAACCAGAGAACTACAATTCTACTTCAAATACTAGTAATTACATAACATTATAACTACAATAAAACTACAAATATAAATAAAGTTATAAATATAGAATATCACAACTACAATAATCTTCAAAATTAATACAATTAAACTACATTTGTGAAAAACATGAATAACACAGATTTTAACATCATAACCAAACAATAAAATTAGAAAATAAAAAAAATTAGAAAATAAACTAATAAATGCATACCTTCGACAATGATTGGTTCTGAACAATTTTAGGGTGTTTTTTTGAATGTTTCTTCGTATTTGGATTTTTAGAACCAAGAAACACCTTTGATTTCTTTCTTGTTCGAAGAGTAGGGAACTCCTCTACAAAGTCGTCATCCTCAGCAATGCCTTTCCCTTTTCTTTTGACTTGTTTGACTGTTGTAGAACATTCTCCAACATCTACATCAAGTTTTTTTTTGTTCTCATTTCAGCTCTTATTTGTCGGGGAGATGAAGTATGACTAATATCTGTAATTGCATGTGTAGATTTACCTAGGTTTTTGAGTGATTTGAGGGATCTTCATTGATGAACTTCAAGTAAATAAAAATGAGGATAGGAATTTGTTTATAGGGTTTACTGAATTTTGTTTGAATTTAGAGGTAAAGATGGTGGTTTCAGAAGAAGGAAAATGGAGGAATAAGCGTGGGAGGGTAAAAAGAACGTGGGGGGTATGGGGATGAGGGGTTAGGAGAGAGAAAGTGAGGATTAGTACT